CATTCATTCACTAGCAGTCACTTAGATTGTGTGTGGGGGGGGCACACGCATGTGGGCATGCGCATGTGTGCACCATTTTAGGGTTTGAACTTGGGGCCTGAGCACTGTCCCTGAGCTTTTTTTGCTTGAGGCTAGTGCTCTACCATTTGAGCCACAGCTCCACTTCTGGCTTTTTTGGTAGTTAATTCGAAGTAAGAGTCACAGACTTTCCTGTCTGGGATGGCTTTGAACCATGATTCTCAGTTCTCAGCCTCTAGAGTAGCTAGGATTAGACTTGAGCCACCAGTGCCTAGATGTTTTTATATCTTGGCATTGTGGAGAGGGCTGAAATAAATATGGGCTATCTCTTTGACATACTGGTTTTATTTCTTTTGGAATTATACTCACTAGTGGGATTATTGATTGGATAGCAATTCTATTGTTTTGAGAGTCTTTCATATTGTTTTCAAGAGTGGTCACACTTATTCCTACTGACAATGGACCAGGTTTCCCTTTTCTCTATATTCCTAGTTTGTTTTTTTTTTTGTTGTTGTTGTAGGACCTGATCTCTGGGCCTGGGTTGAGCTGTCCCTCAGCTCTTCAGCTCAAGGCTAGCACTCTACCACTTGAGCCACGCACCACTTCCAGCTTTTTCTGTTTATGTGGTAGTGAGGAATCGAGCCCAGGGCTTCATGCATGCAAGGCAGGCACTCTACCACTGAGCCACCTTCCCAACCCCTTTTATCTTTTTTTGTGCCAGTACTGGGGCTTGAACTCAGAGCCTCATGCTCTAGCTTAGTTTGCTTTCTCATAGTGTACACTCTGCCTCTGGAGCTATGACTTTAGCCCTGACATTTTGCTGGTTAATGGAGATGGAGTCTTACAGACTTTTCTGCCCATGCTAGCTTTGAACTTCAATCATTCAGGTCTCAGCCTCAAAGATAGTTAGGATTACAGATGTGAGCCATCTCATACATCATTTCTTGGATAGTAGCCATTCTGAGTGGTCATGGGAATAAGACTCCATACTTCTGTCTTTGTGTATTTGAAGCCAACATGTCTTGATTCTATTCTTAGAACATACTCAGAACATACTCTGCTCTTAGAACCCTCAGAACATACCCTAATGTTTCTACCCAGTTCTCTATTACCAGCCCAATGCTGGTGAAAAATAGGACCTTAGTGGATGCTAATGCTGTTGGCTTCTGGAGCTGCTGTTGAGCAAAGAGACTGACTAGACTTTTGGGCATTGCTTATACTCAGGAATCTCATGCCAGCTGGGGCAACATAGTGATACTCATTTGGGAAAGGAGGAGAAGAAGGATGAGGAAGAAGAAGAGAAAGAGGAGGAGGAAGAGGAAGAAGAAAAAAGAGAAGGAGGAAGAGGAAGGAGAAGAAGAAGAGGTGGAGTAAGAAGAGGAGGAGGAGGAAAGGAAAAGGAAGGAAAGAAAGAAAGGGAAGGAAGAAAAGGAAAGAGAAGGAAGAAAGAAAAAGAAAGAAGGAAGGAAGAAAGGAAGGAAGAAAGAAAGAAGAAAAACTTCTTAAACAATGGGACATAAAATGAATCTGGTGAAATACTTCAGAGCTGGTCAGAACTCAAGATTCATAGAAAATGGCTTCTAACCAATTTGCCACAGGATAGATTCACATTTGTAGTTAATGGAAGCCTTTTTTTTTTTTTTGTCAGTCTTGGAGCTTGAACACAGGGCCTGGGTGCTATCTCTGAGCTTTTTTGCTCAAGGCTAGTGCTCTACTACTTTGAGCCACAGTTCCACTTCCAGTTTTGAGTGGTTAATTGGAGATGAGTCTTGCAGACTTTCCTGCCTGGGCTGTCATTGGACTGTAGTCCTCAAATCTCAGCTTCCTGAGCAGCTAGGATTACAGATGTGAGCCACAGGCATCTGAAGTGGAAGCCTGTTTTAGAGATAAGGTAATGGATATTAAATGGCTTATGGTGTCTATGCTCACAAGTCAGTTGTCTTCACTCCCAGTGAGTTCCCAGGTGATATACTGTCATTGGGCTGGGCACTATGCCCTGAAGCTATGTGCTCTGAACATGTGATCACCCATGAAGATGGCTCATTTTAAAGTGCCTTCAGCCAGGTCAGCTGCTTCAGCTATTGAGCAAGAAATTGTATGGTGTTTGTCCCAGGTAATGATTGAAACTAACCCTGACTTATTTATTACTATTGCTTCCACCATGAGTTTCAGACTCAGGTTGGGAGCAAGGAGAGACAGAGGGGGAGGGAGGGAAGAGAGGACAGAAAATTTATTTAGGGATAAGAAATTTTCTGTTTCTAAATGACTCCTGGGTTAGATGTTGTATTTGGCAAGAGAATATCTAAAATAACCACTGTGTATGTAATTTTAGTAAAATTTAAATGTCACATTCACATCTTTTTCTCCCTTTTGCTTCTCTTTAGGAAAGCTACTGGATTTGCCAGCCATAGGCATATTTTAATAAGTCTTATGTGTTCTTCACAAGTATTGTTGATTAATGAATAAACCCATTTCATCATGTCAAAGGTACTGGTGGTGCTGGTGGTTCATGCCTGTCATCTTGGCAACTGGGAGGCCAAGATCTGAATATCTCAGTTGGAAGCCAGCCAGGGCAGGAAAGCCAGTGAACTCTTAATCGCCAATTAACTACCAAAAAGCCAGAATTTGAGCTGTGGTTCAAGTGGTAGAAGCTTAGGGACAGTGTTCAGGCCCTGACTTCAAGCTCCATGACTGGTGCATGTGCACACACAAAAGTATTCATTGAGCACTAAAATGTAAGTTCTACTGGAAAGGTGCTTCCTTGTTTTCTCACTATATCTAACCTGGTTTTGCCAGAGTTTGCTGGGACTCCGCCTACTTCACTCCCTGGCACTGGTCCCTTTCACCTCCCACCTGCTTTAACCATTGGACTGAAGCTTACTGAGTTCCTGTTCTCTGACTTCACCTCCTATTTTTGGCTCTAAATTGACCCTTAGACTTGATGAGATGAGAAGATCTTGCTTCTCCAGATTATTACTTGAGCCCTGCCACACCTCCCCAAATATAGTTTTGTATTTACCCTCTGGCTTCATTTCCTCCCAGCTTCTATAGATAAATAGCTCACCCAAGTTCTCCCAACCCCTAAGACCCTGCACACACCTGGCATGCCTTCTTCCTCATCCACAATAGGAAAAAAAGAAGAGACATCAAAACCTTCAACAATATATTATCTGATATAGATCTTGTTTCCTACCAAAGGTATATGACCTCCCAAGGAGAAAAAAATTGAGTCAGTTAAAATAGTTGTTTTGTTTGCAAGAAAGGAATGTAATGTTAATTTATTTGATTTTCTTTTTTAAATTAAGAGGAAGAGATAAGGAAGGGCATAGTTAAGGCTAGCCCAGGTTAGTAAAAAGTTCCTAAGGCTTGGTTTTCAGGGAAGCTGAGCATAGTAATCTGCATCTGTCATCCAAACTGGCAGGAAATGCAAAATAGGAGGATTGAAGTCCAGGCTCAGACGGGTCAAAGAGCTAGACTCTAACTAAAAATAATCAGTGCAAAAAAAAAAAGAACTGGAGGTGTGTCTCAGTGATAAAGTGCCTGCCTAGCAAGCACAAAGTACTGTTCTAGTACTGGAGCAACAACAATAAATTAACAGAAAATCTTTGAAAGTATGAACTTAAAAGAACATATTGCTTTTGTTTTAGTAGAAGTCTGGCTAAAAGAAGTGGGAGAAGACTGAAGTCAAGCAGAAGAAAAGAGATGGAAGGTGCTTCCCCAACAGAGATTGGAGTAGAGCCAGAAAAAGCCCATTAGAGATGAAGAGCCACAATCTTTTTTGGGAACTAAGAAATCAACAGGTGCTAATAACTTAGTTACACCAAACATTTGGGAGGCATATGTAATTTTATACACAGATATGATAAAGGGCCATCTGACTTGAGAGAAAAATTTCAAGGTAAATTGGTAACTTATCAAGGAAAGAGTACATTTCTTTTTTGACAATGTCACCCCTTCTTCAATAGGCTTTTACTAAATAATAAAAATATCTTCTTATGGGGGGGAGAGGGGAGGCTGGGAAGGGATGGGAAGGGTAAACAAAGGAGGAGGCTGCAATGCTTGGTAAGAAATGTACGCTTTATCCTGCCCATGCAATTGTAACCCCTCTGTACAGTACGTTCACAAATAAAATAAAATTAAATTAAAAAATAAAAAAAATCTTCTTAAATATATAATTCTCTAGTCTGAAGCACTTACCTTTAAGTTTTTAAGTTAAAGGCTTACCTTTAACTTTTGTAGGTCCTGGGACAAGAATAGAGGCCCACACCTCATGTGCCTAAATAGGTAAAAATTATACACAAAGCTAGTAAGTTTTGTTAAATAAAAAATGTTGTATTTTCTTACCTGGACAAATATATCTTCACAGCTTGGAATGCTGTGATGTCCCTGGTAATGGGCTCAGCTATTTGGGGTGGAAACTTCAGATTCCTGGGTACTCATAGGGTGGTCTTAGTCTCCAAATGTGTATGTCTCCTGATTCTATAGATTCCTCATCTAATGGGTAAGGATGTACCCAGAGGAAGGTCAGAATGAGATAGTTTCAAGTTCTTGACTATGGGCAAAGAGACTACTTATACCACAGAGGTGATACTGATTCATCATCTGGAAATTATCTTTTATTCCTAACTCTACTACTAAATCCCTGTCCTTGTCTTTTTGCCTTGTCTACTATTTTCTCTCAGACCACAGGGAGGCTACCTATTGTTCTGCTCAGATACTAGTTTTATTAAATAGGACACTATGGTGATGATGTCTTCCATTATTTCTCTCTTTGATTCCAATTCCCTGTACTAATTATCTGGAATCTCTCTTAATAGCAAAACTTACCCGTGGGAGGCCTGTCAGGGAAGAAAAAAATGTGGGTGGCAATAAGTCTAGGGAAGAGACTGATGTTTTCACTAAGGAAAAGGCCACCAGAATACCACTGTTCAAAGGGTTCTACCCAATTCCACAACTTGGGTAAAGGGCAGCTGCCCCAAGAATCAGTTCTACTGTGAAGGAGGAAACACTGTTTGCTTACCAGAGCTAGAAAGGAATAGAAAACATACAATGGCCCAGGCCTCTGAATGAAAGGAAAATGAAACATGAATGTCAACATCATCACCATGCAAGTATTTTCTCTTCATAAGGTAGGAAATGGCTGTCACATGGAGTAAAGTGAGTGAAAAGTAAAGTACTCACCTCTTATCAATTTATAACCCATTTTTTGCGATTCAAATGTAATTGCCTTAAGTTTATTCATTCTTGTGTGCAGATTCTGAAGGTGAGGGTGAACCTTGTGCCTTCTCTGGTTACTAGCTAGCTCAATGGATGGGTTGTTTTATTGTTGCTAATATGCTGCTGCTAGTTGTACTACATTGCACTAAGATGCAAATCATCTACTTAATTTTCACCAGAAAATACATCTCATATTTTATCTTTGCTGAAGATTTGAGGACAATGGTGAGGTCCCATATTGTCATATTACTTGGGCCTTTCTCTTCCTTTAAAGACTCCTTATTTTCTGTGGGGTTCTTTTTCTTATGATTCAATCTTCAACTTATTTCCAAGGATTCTTTAACATATCTCTCAGTTCCCATCCTGAGTCTCAGAAGTAGAGGCTTGTAGAGACTATCTTTCCTTTTCTCCAGTTCTGTTGGAGGAAGAAGGCAGTGTGACAATTAAAGAATTGTTTCTCTGCTATATGAATTATGTCACCTCCCTTAAGGGTCAGTAACTATTGTTATTTTTGGTTTAAAATAACACTATTTTCCAGTTACACTATGATCCAAACCAAAACAATGCAGCAGCTCTCCAAATAGTTTTAGTCTTTCAGGGATGGGTAATGCTATTTAATGATAATAATGAAGATAATGATGTTATTATTGGTGGTAGCTACATTTCCCTTTGAATACAACTAAAGGTTTTTAAATAGGGAGATTATATGACCTGATCTTTGCTTACAACATGGCATGAAATATAGGTGGCAGAGGTTAAAGGCAAGAGACCAGTTATAGAGTACTTTGATAAAGGTTTAAATCACAAGTAATGAGGTAGGAGTGTGTCAGGGAGTATTGAGAGAAAGGAATTGATAGAATGATCCAATACAGAGGTATTGACATTTAAAAAAATCTAACATTTAAGCAGGGCCACTGGTACAAACTATGTCCTATGTTATCTCATTGTAGATATGTCTGTAACTAGCGTCCCAACATTCCACAGGAATAGGCCAGAGCAAAGAAGTGGGTTGTGCATCACTTAACAGTAGCTTCAGCTACTCTCAACACTTTCTTGCTGAGTGTTAGAAGCTGTTTATGGCATAAGGCTCTGCAGATACTATTAATACAGGGAAAGAGGGGAGAAGGAAACCAAAGATCAAATGGAATGTCTCATGGGAAGCAGGAAATAAAAGACAATACACTGTGTGGCAGCAAGAATAGCACTTACCTCCTTTCAGGAGTGAATACCAACAGTCCTTTGACTACACTGTCCTTACCACCCATAGCACCTTCCATCTATTTATAAAATTATGTTTATTAACTTGAAGTAGTTATGCAGAGGAGTTATCATTCAACAAATCAGTTTAGAAGTACATCGCATCTTGCTCCATGTCACCCCTTTCATCATTCTAAGGTGTAGCCCTCCTGATTCTCCTGAACGCATGATCCTCCTGCCTCATCCCCTTGGTGATTAGAGGTATGCAGAAACACAGTCAACTTTCCATCTTTTTTTTTTTCTAGATAAGATAAAGAACAAGTGTCAAGCAGAGAAGGATTTGGACTTCTTTAAGGGCACTGGCTGCATCTTTTGCATGTCTTGTGCCTGGTGGGAATTTAAACTATCAACAGAATTTACATAATATATTAACTCCCATTTTTCTGAGCTCTTGTTCCTGCAGAAGGTCTCGATAAGGAGGCAGACAGTATGGTGTTTGATTCAACATCACTTACTAGTAAATACTGGAGCTACCACTTGAGTGTGATCTGTGCCGAAGGGAAAAAGAGGAAGGACACTACTTGAGTGCACTTAACCTATTTAAAAAGTGTTTCAAGGCTAGTACCCCGTTAGCACACAGGGCCTCCTATTCTTATTGTCTTTCAGTTTTGTCTTACTCGTCCTCTCTCTTCCATAGTCGTTCATTTCTTTTTAAATTGCCCTCTGTTTTTATGCTTTTCCCTGGGTGAGGTGAGAACTTATCCATGGATCCTCTAAGTACTTGGTCTTATTTTCTTAATTTTAATTTTTTCTGACCTCAGGATTTTATTTCTTTGTTGTTGTTGTTTTTGTTTGTTTTGTTTTGTGGGTCATGGGGCTTGAACTATGGAGCTGGGCCCTGTCCTTCAGCTCTTCAGCTCAAGGCTAACATTCTACCACTTGAGCCACAGAGTCACTTAGGATTTTATCTCTTTATATAAAAGCAAAGTTACCTAAATAGTAGTCACAATTTTCAAGTCCAGATTTTATTTTCCCAGGTAAAACAACAGCTTTCATTTGCTTCTCTGAGTTGTTGCAGTTGTCTGCAGGCTTGTCCACAGACCATAAGCAACATGGGAACAGCCACATAATGGTTCAGTTCAGCAATCTGGAAGGTAACAATGGACAGCACATGACTGAGACATTCATGTGCTGCAGGGAAAGGAGCATGCATGTATAATTTAGGAAGATACTCTTAGTGTGTAGTAACTATAGAGGTTAATAGAGACCATTGGTTAAATAAAAAATGGGAAGTTCACAGTAGGGCTCAAATGAATGCCCTGAAATAATAATCAGAGCTTCATGTAGTCTTACATCTTCTATTCTTTGAATGTGCGGTCAGTTTCTAGTAGCCTAAATTTGGCCTGCGTCCCAGTGCTGCTAGTCAGGGGGAAGAGTGACTTAGTCATTACATTCCTGGGTTTCCCCTCTTTGCCCTGGTCATTGTGTTGGCAGACTTAATTATTTGTCTCCTTCAAGCCTGAGGGTGTGTCACATGTAAGGTAGAGATGAAGCTGACCCACCTGGCTGGCATTCCAATTAGGTCAGATAGAATTTGCTCTCCTCGCTGTCTTAAGGAATGGGCTCTTTACCTGCCAGTTAGTCTGTTGTGGTCTTACAAGCCTGTTCGTATATCCTCAGGGGATTTGTCAAGACTAGAATAGGAACACACCCAGTCTTGCCAAGAGCTCTTTAGTTAATGTCCTAACTCAGCTCTCCCTGGGACTGGTACTTGTAATAATTGTGAGCTGATAAGTCCTATTTATAATAAGGTACACCAGTGATCTGGAGTGCTCCTAAGGCCTGAAGACAAAGATTTTCTTCTTAAGAGTTCCCCTAATGCTTAATCCTAGGAAGCCTTAGGAAGTACAGGAATGTAATTTAGTGTCACAGAACCTTTCTGTCTTCTGAAATATTTGTTATTCATCTGTTTTTCATTAATTATGTAGTAGTTGACTATGAACAAATAACCATGAAAGTAAGTTCAGGCAATCAATCATTAAGTTCCAGTTAATTGGTAAGACCTTATAGTTTAGAACTTTATGTAAAACTTTATAAAGGGAAGTGATACAGATTGGGCCTTGAACTCTACCTAAGGAGGTAACAGATGGGAAAATGTTGAGAAACAGGGCATGCTGAGGTCAGCTCCAACTGTCTCTTACTATCTCTCTTCCCAACTTCTTGTTCAGTTCCCTTATGTCGGGAAATCATCAGTGGTGGGAATATTTGCACTGTGGACAAGTAAATGCTATAAATCAGGGCTTTTTCCTCCCTGGAGAGCTAGTTGTTAATATTTACTAGCACACTATTGGTGGTAAAAAAAGTAGAATTCAAGTGTAAAGGTGAAAATTACAAGTTACTCTATTCTGGAGTTAAGACCAGATTAGGGTTAGGCTGCATAGGATCTTGCAAGGTAAATTATGGATTTTTTTTATTATTGTGAAAATACCGTACAGGGGTTACAAATACATTGGCAAGATAGTGAGTACATTTCTTATCACGCATTGTTGCCTCCTCCTTTGTTTCCTGTATCCTGTAGAAACTGAGGAGTTGGGGTTGATGACATTTTATTAGTTGAGATGCTTTTGGTTATATAAGTAACAGAAATTTAATTCAAAATGGCTTAAGTGCTAAGAAAGATAGTACTTATAAAAAGAATTTAAAGTATGCCTACCATAGTATTTATTTATTTAGTCATTCCTTAAAGACTCAGATTCTCTTTATTTTTTAAACTGTGCTATCCTTAGTATATTAGCTAGTCTTCTAACCAGCACATCAGTCCAAAATTCAATGAATTTCAACAACAAAAGAAAAAAAAGTTATTCTTTCTTTCTTTCTTTGTTTTTTTTTTTTTTGGTGATGGGCTTGAACTCAGGGCCTGAGTACTGTCCCTGAGCATTTTTGCTCTACCACTTTGAGCCACAGCACCACTTTGTTTTCTGATGGTTAATTGGAGATAAGAGTCTTAAGGACTTTCCTGTCCAGGTTGACTTGGAACTGCAATCCTCAGATCTCACTCTCCCGAGTAACTAGGATTACGTGTGAGCCACTAGAGCTCAGCTCTTTATTTATTTTTGTCCTCTTGTAAGAACAAAGAAGTCATTTCCAAAAAGCCTTCAGCAGATTTTCTTACATCAGAACTTCATCACCTGTTTAAACCAAGCACTATCTCTCCTACTTGGTTTTCCGTCTCCCAATCTCCTTTAAAGTTTAGATGGCTTTGTATGCAAGAAGGAAGAAGAGAGGTGAACTTTTTTTGTTTTTTGGTGCTGGTATTAGGGCTTGAACTCAGGACCTGGGCTCTCTCCCAGGTCCTGTCAGCCCTTTTTGCTCAAGGCTAGTGCTCTGCCAATTGAGTCACAGCTTTACCTCTGGCTTTTTGATGGTTAATTAGAGATAGGAGTCTCACAGACTTTACTGCCCAGGCTAGCTTCAAACCACAATCCTCAGATCTCAGTCTTTTGAGAAGCTAGGATTTTAGCTGTGAGTCACAAGTGCCTGACTAATTGTGAAATTTTTATTTTTATTTTTTGTCGGTCATGGGGCTTGAACGCTGGGCCTGGGCTCTGTCCCTCAGCTCTTCTGCTCAAGGCTAGCACTCTTCCACTTGAGCCACAGTGCCACTTCCTTTTTTTTTCTGGTGGTTTATTGGAGATAAGAGTCTCATGGACTTTTCTGCTGGGGCTGGCTTTGAACCATGATCCTCAGATCTTAGCCTACTGAGTAGCTAGGATTACAGGCGTGAGCCACCAGCCCTGGCTTGAACATTTTTTAAAAAATAACTAATATGCTCTAGCTTTGGAAAAGAGAGAAGTGATCAATGGTAAAATTCAGGAAGCTTGATGTAACAATGGCATACAAGCAGATGGAGAACAGAGAAACCCAGTCAGCTCTTTTTCTTTTCTTTTTTCTTTTTTGGACAGGGTCTCTTTATGTAACTTAGGCTGGCTTCAGACTTACTCTGTATCCTCCCATCTCTGCCTCCCTAGTGTTGGGATTATAAGCAAACACCACCATACCCAGCTCGAATTGCCCAATTGTATTTTTAATTTTTTAAATTTAAAAATTTTTTTTTATCATTCATGGGGGCTGAACTCTGGGCCTGGGCACTGTCCCTGGGCCTGTCCCTCAGCTCTTCAGCTCAAGGCTAGCGACCAGCACTTGAGCCACAGTGCCACTTCCAGCTTTTTCTGCTTATGTGGTGCTGAGGAATTGAACCCAGGGCCTCATGCATGTGAGGCAAGCACTCTACCACTGAGCTACCTTCCCAGCCCCCCAGTTGTATTTTTATAAGACTATGAATGTAAAATGATAAGCTACTAAAGCAATGGTTATCAACTTCTAGTTGTCTATCAATTTATTCATGCATTCACTAGTGAATGAACGAGTTTCATAGGTCAACTACTATGCTAGTTTATATATATATATATATATATATATATATAATATATATATATAAACTCTCTCTATATATAAAATAGTGAATTTACCTCTTGGAGCTTCAGACTCCAATGGGTAAAGCAAATATCAATCAGATGATCCACAAATAATTATAAATTTACAGTTGCTTAGGTGTTAACAAACCCTTGGATATCTTTTTTTGTTTTTGAGTTGAAGTAAAATTTACATATAGCAATCTTAAGTATACAACTTGACACATACATGTAACAGCCACTCATCAAGAGTCACATTTCCACCAGGTGCTAGTGGCTCACGCCTGTAATCCCAGCAACTCAGGAGCCTGAGATCTGAGGATCACGGTTCAAAGCCAGCCTGGGCAGGAAACTTCGTGAGACTCTTAACTCCAATAACATACCAGAAAACCAGAAGTGGCATTATGGCTCAAGTGGTAGAGCGTTAGCCTTGAGCTGAAGAACTGAGGGACAGCACCCAGGCCCAGAGTTCAAGCCCCATTACTTACAAAAATAAAAATAATTAACATTTCCATCACCTCAGAAAGTTCCCTTGTATTCCTTTCTGTTCTGCACTTCTCCCCCAATAGATAACCAGGACTAATTTATATGTACAAGATTGTTTTGCCTAGCTGGGCGCTGGTGGCTCACGCCT